ATTGTTTTGCAGACTAGAATGTTTAAGTCATACTTGCTTAGTATGGGTATAGACAACCCTGTGACAAGGTACATACTCTTGACACTCTTTGCTTCACTTTGATAGCTGTTGTTTACTTACTGCCATGTTTGACTGTTTGACCTGGCAGGGAAACTGTAGGTACAGGAGCCAACTACCACAATGAATTGGCAAAAGAGTTGGGACGGTTTTTAGACAATATAATCCAGGTAAATCCCAGATTATTGTTAATTTAAAAATTGAATTGCATCTTAAGGGGACAAATTGCATGATCCTTTCTCACATGAAATTGATATTGTTTTTTGAAGGATGAAGGTGGTATGATGGCGCTGACAGATGTTTATTGCAGGTTTAATAGAGCTAGGGGAATGGAGGTAATTTCTTGTTTGCTTAAGAAATAAGAAGTATGAAACAGTTTACACTCTTGTTACAAGTAAACCCTTGTTATCTGCTACACAGTAAACCCACAAAACTTGGTAACAATCATCAYATTACTCTTTTAGCTTGTATCACCTGAAGACTTAATAAATGCATCCAAACTGTTTGAAACACTGAAGATTCCTTTAAGGTACAGACATATCCATATATCTGATTGCAGTGAGTTTTTTTTAAGTCTATCCACTGTTTTTATGATATTCAGTTCTCGTCTTATGAATTCTATTAACTAAAACATCAGTCCTAACCACCATTTAGACAAAAACCAAGGGAGAAGTCGCATCTTTCTCGTTCAATTAGGTTACTATGACATTGTGTTTTTAAAATCCATGTTTTCAGGCTGCGGCGTTTTGAGAGTGGGGTACTTGTGATTCAATCAATCTCTCATAGTGATGAAGAAGTCATTCGCAAGACCAAACAACTGGTAATATTATATACTAGGCATTTTGGATTAGTTTGAATCCTAATAATTTGACTTTTTTATGTTGTAGCTTGATGATAAAGGATCTCTTACAGCTGATGAACTTGCCAGTGTTGTTGCAGTATCTGTTATGCTTGCAAAAGAAAGGTAAYGTCCATTATCCAGGAACACATTACTCTTCCTACTTGCTCACTGATTCAAAATGTTTTATTGTTAAAGGCTGCTAGTAACAGAACAAGCYGGCAAGGCATGCAGGGACGACTGTGCAGAAGGACTGAGATTTTATCCTAATCTTTTTGCTGAAAGAGAGCCTTAACCTGGATCACCTTTTAATGATAASCTGTCATCCTATACATACATAGCTATGCTTTTCATTTGAGTGTAAAAAGCAGAAGATTTGATAGCAATGTTGTCAATGTGTCATCTAGGAAATTGTGCTTGGTAATTTCCAAAAGTCCAAAGGTCCAAATAATTTAAGAAAAGAAACCTAGAAATAGAAACACTTGTACATAATTATTAYTAACAATAAGATAATTAAACAAAATGTATTTGGTTCACAAGTTTTATTATTATTTCCGGTAATTTCTATGAACTAACATTTATTAAGACATTATAAGACTACAACTATACGATTKACAAGGTCATAAATACAGAACATTGTAGTAAAGATGGGTTAAAATCCATGTTTTCTTTCCATAATACTGTGGATATCACCCATAGTTTCCAAATCACCAGGTGCTGAAAAAAGAACACAAGTTTTGACTTAAAGTAATTAATGTACAATATTTAACCAGGGCAAAACAAAACACCAGTCAACAGACTATGTACAGGTCAAATCTTTGTGTCAACACTGAGTCAGTCATTTTTTTAAGCTAAAATATGCTTTAATTCATGAAATTGGAGCTTTGCTGGACATAATGTCTGCCTGCTCAATCATCATTACTTTCCATTTCTGTAAACCTGAACAGCATTGTAGTGAGACTTTGGGGACTATGAAATCCCTGACTAGTTTTACATACCTCCAAGAATATCCTCAAATCCTATTGAGTCATCAGATCCCATGAGGGTATCTAAAGCAATCATTGAGCTGGGCAGACAGGGAAGTCTTTGGATCTGATAAATTGATTATCAAGGTTGTTAGAATAATATTTAATATCATGATACCTGCTTACTGTTTGATTGAGATACATTTAACTTGCAAACATTTCTTAATACTGTAAGGGGAATAGGGTAGATATGGATATCAAGTGACAAAAAGTGACAAAATGAGCCTAATGTTCCAATACTTTTGGCAAGGATTGTACTCTGATCAGTTGATATTGGTACAAAAAGAAAAAGAAAAAGAACTAGGGGTCAGTCATAGGAAGGGTTATCCATTAGATACATGTAAGTCCATACAAAATATGTGGACTGGGTAACTCTATCTGATGGAATGCTTTCTTGCTTCAAAACACCCCAGCTCATTGAGAAAAATGATTTTTTTAAAGTCTCGCATGAATCCAATGAGCTTTTCGTTATGTTCCAAAAGTCTTCTGGTTACCTGCACGATCTTGATAGGTAGCTGTGCCTTGCTATCGAAACAAGATAACTGTTGAGCATGTAATGATATATACCTGTGAATAATTGTCTCTAGGCGTGAAATAAGGTATCTATCATTGTACGCTCAACGGTCTCTCGCTTCCATGTAAAGGCACGGCTACCTTTCAAGATGGCACAGGGAACCATGAAGAAAACTATTGCTTATATACACAGTGTTGTACCTTTGATGTGACAGCGCACTCCATTTGTAGTCTTAATGGTGCATGAAGACCTTGGGTGTTTCGTAGCATTCTCATATCTAATGCTTGCTGATTCTTGGTATACTTTAAGGAAAAACAATTTGTTTTAAATTTTATTATTTTTGAATAAAATACTAGTAWGTCTGCACATTATTGAAACATTTTTAAAGAAATTGTGAGAATATTAGTRAWATAAAGARCCACAATTGTGCTTCTTTTGTTTTCTACTTGCTGGATCTGACTGTCTCCAAGATTTCACTTGGTATCATGTTTGAAAACCAGTACATATAATCTCTWATTGGAAGGACCCATTATCAACTTACATTCATTTCTGTAAATTCCAAAGGATGAGAATCTTTTATTTGATCTTTGACATTTGAAAGCCTGGCAAAAAAAAGATCCACACATGAAAATATTAATTTTGCCTCAGTAATCACACGCAAAGGAATCAAGATGAGGCACCGTGCATAAAGCTCAGTCATTCGTAAAAAACAAAATAGTTTTTCATGATTGACTGAGCTTTATGCACGGAGCCTCGTCTTGATTCTTTGGTGTTTGACAACTGAGGCGAAATTCGCAAAATTGGCTATTTGGCCATCACTGAATACAGGGACAAACAATAGCAGATATTTGGGATTAGGAATAATTCATATTTTAGACAAAAATATTTTAAGTTTATAATTAAGCTTGATTTTTTCATCGCTTTAGTGCTTGCACTCCACTACTTTCCTATCTTTTGACAACAAATAAAGCAATTGAAATGAACACAAAAATAAAACGATACCCTGTTCTCAATCTGTCTGGAACTCCATACAGTCCTTGTGTTGTGGTCACTTCACTTGCACCATCAGATTTAGGCAAAATGGTAGGAGATTTCTGTAGAGAGAACAAGATTCKTTAAYACTAAAGCATACCAAAACTTGAAACAAAAACTAGAAATATACAGCAATTAACTTAAAAGACAAAAAAATTAATTCTAGCTTAATTYTWTGGTAAAAAATATTCGAGAAATATAATAAGGTACTAGTAAAAAGGAATCCAAAAGTATTCCCGGCGAAATGTCAAACTGTAAGCTTAAGTTTATGACAAAGCAAAAATTTCGACAACCTAAAATGGCGACCTWTTATTCAAAAACTAACACCTGTTTAGCTCAGTTAAAAGTAGAAGCTCTTCAAGATGTTTCTGAAAAAAYAGGAGMYGCTCTTTTTGTAGTGTCTTCCTTGGTTAGTACAAAAATTARTAGCAAAGTTAACTCACCATGTTGTCCGCCATCTTGAATACACTGTAGATCAAGTGCACATGCGCGGAAGTATAATTGTATGATCGCGGGCGCAGATATCAAAAGGAAAGAAAAAGCGAAAACAAGTAGTATTCGAAAAAGTGAAATAGTTTCACATTTGACCGCGTTTTCACGGAGCAGCAGTTCACTTTTGAGGTCAGTTTTGTAGCGCGTTCACACGTGACCTGCGAAAGTTTAAAAAAAAATTAAGAAGTGTTATCAAAGAAATAGATTTTATTGACCTCAACAATCTATCGGCATCAATTTTAAAGACGTCAAAAATGGTCGTCTTTTAGGGTCTTGAATCGATACCTGGATTAATTTATGCGTACCTTTTAGGTTCATTTTTCAATCTGTCCGTCGAGCATACCTACCAACTTTTAAAAGGGAGTACCCCCGCCCCCCCAACCCATCCGTCCGTCAAGCATACCTACAAACTTTAATAAGGGAGTCCTCCCGGGCACTGCAAACTGTGAACGGTCTAGTGTAATGAACAGACACAGTTCTTAAAAGAGAAGAGTGTATTCAGCATGAACCTAAAGTAAGAAGTGGTGGAGTAAATGAAATTTGAAGGCGCGCGTTTGAGAACCAGCAAACGGAGAACAAAGCAGCTAAGAAAGAGKGAAGGAATCAGAATAACAAATGAAAACCTTCTGTTGTACTTCGTTCACCACTACTTTCTCCTTGCTAGAGGGCATATTCAAAGCAGACCTGGTATAAATGACCGCCCGATCAACATTAAAAAAAATTCTAAAAATAAAATAATACTTTTAGGTAGATTACCAACAAAGCTAGCGGGTCTCAAACGGTGAATTTCACATGTACCACACTTAAATGGAAATTAGATGCGTGATAATGAACAGAAACAAAAAAAATTAAATAGAAAACTTGCAACTTGAACTTGCTGTTACCCAAATGAAACCACAAAAAAATAAATCAATAAAAATTACAATGAAAGACACTATCAGATAAACAAATATATCAATATATCTGTTCATGATTAAACATTGCGAACATGAAAAGATGACCTGGTCGCCTAAACTACAAATTCGATTAAAAGTACAAGCTTGTGATTTTTTTTAGTAGGTCAGAAATGTTAATGGGCTCAGAAAAGTACTCAGTCGCTGTGTGAAAACATGTTACCCTCACGGTTTCTTGAAGCGGAAGCGTCATATTAAAGTTTGTTAAAAAATTCGAAAAACCGAAGTTTTCTTGCATTCGCAATTACGTCATTTTATTATTCTCTCTTTAAAATTCGTGCGTTTGATTGGCTAACTCGAATTCACGTGACCAACAAACATGTGCAGCGTTAATAAAGAGATCCACTTACAAATGATATGATTACAAGACCAAACACCAACTCAGAATAAAACACTATGAATCCCTCAACATATTACGATTTTACTGACCCTGCTCAACATGGTGCGAGCAGTGCAGKTCCACAGTACCCATTCAATCCCATGAGTACGGTGTACAATACGTCTTCCATGCAGACTTCTTACGCTGTACAAGAAGTGTCAATGCAATGYACAAGTTCATGGGCGGCAGGCGAGTTGTCACAAGGGCAGTCAAGAAGCTTTCTGCAAAACGCCACCGAGATACCGAAAATTACTGAACTACAGGTTAACAGTGAGTCTCAGCAAGTAGCCGAAAGGAARCCAGGTTTGAGAATGATTAATGATGTTGTCTAATTGTCAATGATCATCACGTTAGATGTACCATATTTTGCGCTCTTTTCGGATTCTTGTCAAATGGTGAAATGGAAAACCAGTGTTTGCTCAATTCATCTCTTATGTCTTATCACATTTT